CAGGCAAGGCTTGTGAATAAAAGGTTAGGAATCAGTGTCTTAAATGACTACATTCTAGGAGTTTGCCTTCTACATTTGTATACCGAGTCATGGCTTACACTCCCTCCCACCTGGACAATTCTCCAGCAGGCTCAGTGTTTATCAGGAGAGAAACTTTGTGGTGGAAGATAGCAGGCATTTATAGATGTCATATTAACAGATGAACAACATGTTTCTGGAGAAAATCTATCATCCTGGGGTGGATGTGATTTTTCATTAAGACCTTGAAGCCAGGTCTAGGACTGTTATTTTTTCCCACTGAGATGATTTGACTTCCGATTGGCTAAAAAAAATCACCTGTGATGATTAGGCATGCTAACTGCTTTGTTCTGGCACTTGCACTGTTAACCAGTCAGTGGACCGGGGTTTTGAGGTGGGTTTTCTGTTGTTAGAGGCTAGTTTTTGTTCTAAAAGGGTGAGCCTGGTCTACGTGAACAGCTGTAAAATAGGCTTGTTGGAGTTGGACTGCAACCACTTTCAGCAGCAATATTTAGAAGTACTTATCTTCTGGATGACTTTATGGGTCTATCTGAGAGGAAGTAACCTAAAGATAATTCTACAGTCTCCCTCAGCATTGACAGATCATCAACGTGTTCAAATCTTTTATGATTTCACATCGTCGTATCGCCCTCTGCTTTCAAAATCGTATCATAGTGAATCTGCAGAAATAGGGTGTGCTGCTTCTTTATGCAGTTCCTTCATGACTGCGTCATGAGTTCAAAGCTGTTTCACAAGATTTGTTTTTCATGCTGCCTCTGAAGTGTCTTCTTTTCCTTGCTTGGCATCTTAGGGTTTGTTACCATACTTCAGACTGAAGACAATTTGTTGGATTTAAAGGAGCAATATGTAAGAATTCTACAGTGACATAATCACAAAATGGTCTAATGTCTCGATTATGTTGGAAGAAAGGTTGTACGGAAACAGATTTCATTCTCAGCACATGATGTCACTCTTACTTGATTCTTACATATTGCACCTTTAAAGTGTATTGGTGCTGTCCTTTGTCGTAAGGACACCATTATACATCAGCTTTTATGTTATTCTCTTTACACTAATCTTCGGTCGTAGTGACAGTTTCTAAAAAGAAATAAGTTTCACATGAAGTAGCTTTCACCAGGTGTTTATATACTCGTGATAAAGCTTCCCTTGTGCCTTTACAAAATATCTCAACAGTTTTTTTTTGTGTTGGTTTTGCTTTTTTACCACAACTTCAGTCTAATTGTAGTATCAAGATCATGAGTGGATACAGGAGGAGGAAGAAAGGTTAAATTAAATGTTTATATTTTTAAGGAAGAATAAAACGTAACTTGAATTAATCATCTTAAAAAATGACTCACTTGCTGGGAAGAAAAGTTCAGACTTATCAGAACATTCATGCTGTAACCAGCCCTTGTGCTGACCTTTTATTGTATCTATAAAATTGGCTGCTGAATGAAAGCCTTTTTTAATCAGATGATCATCTGTGCACCTTGACAGTCAAAGGTAGATAAGCAACAAATCTGCTCTGACCTCAGCTGCTCTGCTCTCCTGGAAGTAATAGCGTACTGGATCTCCTGGTAAGATAGGAAACCAATCCAGGTTGTATCACTTTTGGTAGCTCATTTCTGATGCTGCCGTTTTCCTCCCAGAATGCTTCCCTGGTGGCGTTTAACAGCCACCTGCTCTTTTGTTAGTAACCGTATATGTTACAGCTGGGATGCTTTGGGGTGCCAACAGACTTCACCATTTATGACCAATAAATTATCCATGGGTAACTGCTGTGACAACCCAGATTTGCAGTCAGACTTAACACACACACACACACACACACACACACACACACACACACGCACGCACACACACACACACACACACACACACACACACACACACACACACCTTTAACAGGACAGGTTTAAAATGGTATGAAGTAACCCTTTTGTAACCGTCTAAGCCTTACTGTGTTTTAGGGTTGTCACGGTGGGAAAATTTAACCTCACGGTTATTGTGACCAAAATTATCACGGTTTTCGGTATTATCGTGGTATTTTTTTAAACGTGTTACATTTTCAGACAACTAAATAAACCCTGTATATCAGGAAAATATTGTCCTCAGTTTGTGTCTAAATTTTGCTTAAAATGTGTTATTTAGTAATTATGTTGTTTATTTGTTTACATATTTCCCCTTTAGTCTTTAAAATACCAATATTTGCCCATAACTTCTTATTTTTTGTCTGTTTGATGTCATCATTTTAAAAATATTAGACCAGATGATACTCAGTAGGGGTGCTGAAAAAAATCGATTCAAGTCTGAATCGGGATTCTTATTTATAAAGATTCAGAATCGATTCACAAAGGGTCAGAATCGATCCCAAGACCTCAAATGTTTGGCATGTTGCAGGTTTGAGATGCACTTTTGTCTGTTTTTTTTATCTTTGATAGGAGAGTCAGTACTCCGTTTACTTTTGTGGTCCCATAAATTGAGATGATTTATGTTTGAATCTGCTGATAAGAGGGCACATGAATATAATTTTTTTCCATATTCATTAATTTGAGATATTCTCATATTTATTTTCTAAGTTGATAAGTGAGGGCTCAGGATTACTCATGTATTTATTTTAAGTTATTGATAAATGAGAGAACACATTTTCCTTTGTAAGAAATCTGAGGCACTTTTTTTAAACAGGTTGAGGACTCAAATGTTAAACTTGTTTCCACACATACTTGAAAAGTATTTGACCGTATTACTTTCAAAGCTACTGTTATGTAACTAAAGATGTGTTATATTTTACAAGGTAAGCAAAAATAAATGTTGCCTTTTGGTCAAAAGATTGCTTCTGTTTACAGTTTTAGAATCACTTTAGTTTACCTTGTAAATTTGCATTTTTTTGAGCATGACCAGTTTAAAGTCAAATAAAAATGTCTCATAGCTTTAACTAACTTGTACAATAAAGTAGTTAATCTTAGAATTGACACTCTTTGTTAACACTGATTGTGAATTGATTTAAATCGAGAATCGATTCTGAATCGAATCGACACCCAGAGAGTCGGAATCAAATCGTGAGTTGCTCGAAGATTCACATCCCTAATACTCAGTACTTCTAATCAGATACTTTTTTTTACCCTTACTTGAGTAATAAACCCTATATCAGGAAAATTATGCCCTTGGTTTGTGTCCTTCCGGTGAGCTTTGCAGATTTAGGAAAATGTCATCAGGCAGTAATCATTGTTAAATTCATAATTGTTCTCTGAGAGAGACCAACTCTAATCTGCCCCTGGGAGCCCCGTAATGCATAGCGTCATTTCAACATGGGGGTGTCCGCGACACAGTTTATATGCAGGTAGCGGCGCTGCGGCTGCTTTATATAGCGACTCGTTGCATTCTCCCTCAACCCAAATCATCGGATCACGTATTTTAGCTAAAACGCTAATGTTAGCTTGCCTTGCGTTGACTGTAGAGTTGTGGGTGATGGTCATGCAGATGTGTCATGAGATTTGAAGCGTTGCTGCCTTTCACAGACAATTTTTCTGCATGTGCTGCAAACAGGATAGCCGTCTTCTATCAACTGTACCTTGGCATTCTTCAAATATCCAAAAAATGCCCATACTTCCGACTTTGTCGTCTTTGAAATATAATAAATGTCCTGAGCGCTGCCGTCTCCTCCTTTGGCCATTATTTCAGCTTTAGCTTAAAAAAGTTTTGGCTGTAAACAACAAAGTGCGCATGTGCCGCCGGCAACTTCAGCAGATGATACGGTGGCTGGTAAGGGTCACCGCGCCTACACCGTAGCCACGGTAATCCACCGAGATAATAATAATAACCGTCTTGTTTTTAAAAAAAGTATTGTCAACTTTTTTACCGGGGTTTACCGCTACACCAGTTATCGTGACAACCCTACTGTGTTTAGACACAACACCCAGCTTTAGGTGGAATCCTAATATCAATAAAGCACAAACTGTTAAAAAGAAAATGTGTGAATATAAGATAAGAAATGTACACCAAGAACATTTCCATCGTACTTTTTTAAGGTTTTGTTTCCAACAAGCCAGATTTTTTTTAACATTTTTTTAAACTGTCTCAACCAGTGTTTTTAAAACTCATTGAATGTTTTCTGTTCATTGAGAAACCATTTTTTACTTATTTTTTTAGAAAATGGTCAGTCACTCTTGAGTTTAACTTGCCAGTTTAACATGAAAATAGTCTTCTATCTCTATCGCCTGCATTAGCTACTGATATAAAATAGATGTAAATATGCTAGGTTTAGAAAATCTTGACAGATCTATGTCACACTGTCACTTAACATTCATGGACTCACCCATTTTTACTCACAACAGGGAAGGCTGCTGTTGGTTTAGTGTCGAGAAAATGGCTCAGAATATCTCGACAAGTAGAAGCTAACCATTAGCAACTCTACCACACAGCATTGCTGTTATCCAATCAGAGGAGACATTGCAATTCCGTCCAGCGTGTCCTGGGTCTTCTTTTAGGTCTCCTCCCAGTTGGATATTCCTGGAAAACCTCAACAGGGAGGTGTCCAGGAGGCACCTCAACTGGCTCCTCTGAAAGTGGAGGAGCAGCAGGTCTACTCTACGCCCTTCCCAGAGGACCCAGTTTCTCACCCTGCCAGCATAGCAATCTTTTGGATTTTACAAATTTCATAAAAAAACAATGGTTATTTGCTAAATTTGCAGAAAACCCAAAGAACTTTTCATCTAGATTCAATTCAAGTTCATTTCTATAGCACCAAATCACGACAAGAGTTGTCTCAAGGCGCTTCACAAAGTAAACATTCCAATACAGTTCAGTTCATTAAGCCAATCAGTAAGAAGTTTCCCATATAAGGAACCCAGCAAGATAATTTTGTCTCTTGCTGCCTGTTAAGAAAACTCTGAAACAGTCAAATATCCTTTAGCCTTTCAATGCCAGTAGTTATTTCTTGTTCCTCAGCTTTTGACGGTGATGTTTTTTTGTCTTCTTTCCAGTGTGTGGAGATATCCATGGGCAGTTCTTTGACCTAATGAAGCTGTTTGAAGTAGGAGGATCACCAGCATCCACGCGCTACCTTTTCCTTGGGGACTACGTTGACAGAGGGTATTTCAGTATTGAAGTGAGTCCGTGTATTTGTGATTGTCCTCTTGTGGCTCTAATTGAGCATGACGCACAGCATGTGCTTGTGACAGAAGCTGGGTTTATTAATAGCTCACGTTGAGCATAGATGAAATCAGGCTGCAGATATTGCAGTGATAAAACATTTTAATGATCTTTTCAGATGCTGTCTGTGTGGCAAATGTCACAGAGGCACTGAGAAATGCATAATATTGTCCAAAATTAATGTGTTTTATATGGAACTCATATATATTCTAAGATCACTTGAATCACTGTGTTTTATTATTAAAATCTATTCTGAGGGCGCCTGTCCTTGGATGTTTTATTGGAGCATTTGTCCTGAAACTTCTGAAGAAAAGCTGCATGAATGTTTCAGTAAAAGCAGAAGATCTTGTATGACTGAATGGGTTATGTTTGTGAAGTAGATAGGTGAAATGTTCCCCTCATCTTGTTCTGTTTTTGTTTCAGTGTGTGCTGTACTTGTGGGCCTTAAAGATTCTTTACCCAAAAACACTGTTTTTGCTGCGTGGGAACCATGAATGTCGACATTTAACAGAGTATTTCACATTTAAGCAGGAGTGTAAGTATTTCTTTTCTCATTTACCATCAGTCAGCATCTTACCTGCAGCAGATGGCTGTCAGAGTGATCTCAGTTCACATTGTCACCATTCTGCCAACCCAGTCACGTAGATGTTACTACTATCTACTATCTAATCCCAAAACTACAATCACAGATAAGAAAACAGTGAAAATCATCAGCTTGTGTTTTTCTTAGGAGGCTAGATATCTTTAAGAAATGGCAAAAACATAAAGTGTTGTTTAAGGCAGAAGTGGCAGATGTGGAAATGTTTTAGTAAAGTTTTCCCTTAAAATGATACTTCACTGAAAAACCATTTCTTATTTCTGATTACCATTGGTCTCTCTGAACCCCGCCAAAAATGTGGCATCAGTAACTGTTGGTCACTGATTGGCTAGGGGTCACTAGTTGCTCCAGAGGTCTCCACCTACTGCCACTCTTCCTGCATCCACTGCTAATGCAGTTTCTGGGTTCTGGGTCAATTTTTTTGTTGTGCTGTGTGAATGTTTTGAACAGGTCACCTGGCACTCATGGATCACTTTATCTCAAAGAGCAGATGCATACTACCTTCCACATAGGTAACTTCCACCTGCTAGTGTTAATTAGCTGTTTGTAATAGGGAGTTCATAGATCAAAAAAATGTTGGATTATTTTTTGCTGTGTGGTAATGGTGCGTTCATGGACTAAAAAAGCCATTCAATAACCAACAGTCTCAGACCAACTGTTTCTACTCGGGTCGAAAGAATCCACGCTTCGTACTGATGTCCACAATTCTTTTATTTCTCTCTCACAATCATGGAGCACCGTGAAAACTAGAAACAAGTAAAATAATATCAATAGCACATATGATATTCATCTCAGCCACTTATTTCCTTTCGCAAGTGCACAAGTGTTAAACGAAGAACAGTATAACGTTTTTTACCGTGTACGCCTTGTAAACCCAGCAGTAGAAAAGATGTATGTTCCAAAAGTCCGCCGTGTTACCGCTCCGTGTCGTCTCTCCCGCGACTCACAGGAAGCGACTACCTCACAACAATCTCAACAGAAACATTTCTTATAAGAAAGACGTATAACTCCACTGCACAGGTCCACAATATGAGTACCAAATAAAGAAAACAAAACAGAGACAACGTACCGATCTCCGATGCGCTGCTGGTGTTGTCATGGCAACCAACACAAACATTTCAACGTCAGTTACACTCCCACCAATTACCTTTGATTATTACAATTGCGAATGTAAATACACTTGTATTGTTCATTAAATCAATGGTAATTCCCAAGCACCATGTTATGTTAAAACACTCTTGCATTGACATAAACAATATACTTTTCTCAAACAATGAATTCAACAATATGAACAGAATTTACATCTCCACAACATGTGCATGAAGTACAGCATAATGACAACTTGTATTTTAGAAGGGAAATCTAATCAATGAATGACATATTTTTCTCATTTTTTACCAGGACCACTAATTTCTGAATGGGTCTTTGAATGATGGATGGTTGGACGAGGCGTTCGCCTCTCTTTCCTAATTTCCTATCACCAGTCTGGATTGTCACCTTCCGTACAAGTCCATCATCATCCTCATGTGCTTCCACAACCCTAGCGAGTTTCCATTCATTGCGAGGAACATCTTCTTCTTTGAGAATCACAATGTCACCCACCTCCACATTACGTCTTGGTGTATGCCATCGCTGTCTCAGAGCAATATTGGCCAGGTATTCCTTTCTCCATCTGTGCCAAAATTGCTCAGTCAGATATTGGACCCTTCTCCACCGTTTCTTAGCATACAGGTCCTCCTTGACAAATTTACCTGGAGGTGGAAGTGGGATTGAGGATTTCATGGTGATCAAGTGGTTCGGTGTGAGTGGCTCCAAGCTTTTGGGGTCGTTGATGTTATCAACAGTGAGTGGGCGGTTATTCACGATGCACATAGCTTCATAAAGGAATGTCCTTAATGAGGCATCATCCAGCCTTCCCACACTGCAGGCAAGGACCGTGCTCAGTACGCTTCTCACTGTCCGGATTTGGCGCTCCCATGCGCCTCCAGCATGACTAGAGTGGGGCGTATTCATCTGGAAGTCACACTGTTTTTCTGCCAGGTATGCAGTCACTCTTTCCTTATCAAGTTCTTTCAGAGCCTTTGCCATCTCGTTTCTTGCCCCCATAAAATTAGTTCCCTGATCAGACCTAATGTGTCTAACAGCTCCACGAAGGGCAATGAAGCAGCGCAAAGCATTGATGAATGCGTCAGTCGTCAAATCCTCCAGCATCTCTATATGCACTGCCCTTGAGCAAAAACATGTGAAGAGGAGGCCGTACCGTTTTTGATCTTTGCGACCCTGTTTGGTGTGAAAAGGACCAAAGCAGTCCATACCACAATAAGTGAATGGTGGTGTGGGATCAACACGGTCACTAGGTAGATCTGCCATTCGTTGCTCCTCTGGTGGCGTGCGGGCTTTCCTACACTGTACGCACTGCCTGATGTATTGGGCCACAGCCTTACTTCCACCAGCGATCCAGTAACCATTGACTCTGAGTGCATTGAGGGTTTGTCCTCTGCCTTGGTGTTGTATCTTGGTATGATGGTGTGCGATGATGAGGTTTGTAACAGCACCATCTTTAGGAAGGATCACAGGGTGTCTTAACTCGAGAGGCACAGATGCCTTCCTTAATCTTCCTCCTACTCTCATTATGCCATCTTGGAGGAATGGGTCAAGCTGAAAGAGTGGGTGGTTGCAAGGCAGCCTTCCTAGTTTCTGGCTGAGTGTGTTTAACTCCTCTTGAAAGGCATCTTGTTGTGCAAGCTTGACAAGAGTCTGTGCAGCTTGTTTTCTCTCTTCCACGTTTAAAGGTTCAGCGGTCCTGATCCTCTTTGCCAGCCGCTGGATACGAGCAATGACGTTGACAGCTGTAGCCCATCTTGAGAACCGCAGCAGATGCTTCTGGATGTCAAACTGTCTTGCTGCCTCAACCTTCAACACCTGAGTAGTCCTCACCTCTGGGTCTCCCACCAGCAAATCTGAAGTAGCCTGTTTGGTGGCTATCTCTCTTTCCCATAGAAAGCCTGGGCCAGAGAACCAATTTGACTTGATGAGGTCAGCTACTTTGAGGCCTCTCGATGCATGATCAGCAGGGTTTTCTCCTGTGTCCACATAATAACATTTCCGTGCATCTGTGTTTTCTCGAATTTTCTGAACACGATTTGCCACGAACACATGGAACCTTCTTGCTTCATTATTGATGTAACCAAGCACGACCTTTGAGTCTGTCCAAAAATATTCGTCATCAATCTTGAGCTCTAGCTCCTCCCTTAATATGCTGCTCACAGATGCCGAGGTTACTGCTGCAGTTAATTCTAGCCTCGGTATGGTGACTATTTTGGTTGGTGCAACCCTCGCCTTGCCCATGACCAAGGAGCAGCATACCCTTTCTCTGCTTACTACTCTGATGTAAGAGCACTGGCCATACCCTTGACTGCTTGCATCAGAGAAATGATGAAGCTCGGCTCTCTGAATCTCACCAAGGCTGTCAGGTATGAAGCATCTTTGAATTTCAATTCTTTCCAGGTTCTCCAAATCCTTCTTCCAAGTCTCCCACCTTAACTTCAAGTCTTTGGGTAGTGGCTCATCCCACCCTGTGCCTCTCTGACACATCTCTTGCAGCACTCTTTTCCCTTCAAGAATGACTGGGGCTAGAAACCCCAAAGGGTCATACAAGGAGGCCACAATTGAGAGGATCCCTCGGCGCGTTGCCAGTTTCTCCTCAAGTGACACCTTGAAGGAGAAGCTATCATTTTCAATGTTCCACCTTATACCTAGTACTCTTTGAACTGGCAAATCATTGTGATTAAGATCAACATTCTTCACCTCCGTAGCACACGCTGCAACCTCCACTGAGTCAAGGACCTCTCGACTGTTGGAGAGAAATTTGTGAAGGTGCAGCTTTCCTTTGGCACACACAGCTTGGGCATCTTTGACCAGTTCAATTGCCTCACCCACCGACTTTACACTTATGAGACCATCGTCGACATAGAAATGTTTCTGGATGAAGCTAGCTGCGGAGGGGTACTCTTTCTCACATTGGCTGGCAAGGTGTTTCATGCCATAATTGGCACAGCCAGGGGAGGATGATGCTCCAAACAGGTGAACCTTCATGCGGTACTCTCTGGGTTCTGAGTTTGTGTCTCCATTTTCCCACCAGAGAAATCGCAGGTAGTCTCTATCATCCTCGCTCACATGAAACCTGTGGAACATTTTCTCCACATCACACATGACTGCGATGGGATATTTACGGAAGCGGCACAGCACAGCTGTTAGGCTATTTGTGAGGTCAGGTCCTGTTAGCAGATGGTCGTTTAAGGAGGTGCCTTCATACCTTGCAGAGCAGTCGAAAACCACTCTGATTTTGCCTGGTTTTCTGGGGTGGTAAACTCCTTGATGTGGGATATACCACACTTTCCCCAGCTCTGCTTGGTTTTCCACTTTCTCTGCATCTCCATCCTTGAAGACACCTTCCATAAATCTCACGTAGTCTATTTTGAATTTGGGATCTCTGTCCAGCTTCCTCTTTAGATGCTTCAACCGTACTAATGCCAGCCTTTTGTTGTCTGGGAGATGTGGACGTGCTTTGAAAGGGAGAGGCATCTCCAGGTGACCCTCCTTATTTTGTTGGATCCTCTCTTTCAAGATCTGCAGGAAGCATATATCTTCTTGAGATATGCTTCTGTCACCAGATTTTGTGTCTGCAAAATCGGACTCTAGGGCCTTGATGACAGCAAATGGCGTTATGGGTGGCATCTCTCTGACAGACACTCGATGGCAAAAACCAGTCACATCTTTAGCTTGCACACGCTGTGGTGCGCTTCCCACAATGCTCCAACCAAGGTCCGTCTCAATAGCATAAGGCTCATAGTCGCCCCCAGTGATGACCCTTCTTGGAATTAACGCTCTGGAGCAGTCATATCCAATCAACAATCCAACACCACAGTCCATCAACGGGGGTATCTCTTGGGCCATGCTTACAAGGTGTTTCCATTTGTTGGCTGTCTGACAAGTGGGAATATGTGCACGGTCAAGAGGAATGAAGTCCCTTGTGTAGGCTGGAGGCAAATTGATGGAAACGTTAGAGGAAAATCCTCTAACTTTGAGCTTGCATACTCTTTGACTCTTCACCACTGAGTCTCTCCCCATCATGGTGGAAAGTTTAAGTTTCACTGGTTCCATTGCTGCTTTTAGCTTTTCGCACACCTCCTGATCAACAAATGTGTGACTGCTTTGAGTGTCCAATAGTGCATACACTAGGGTTTCAGTGTCCGGAGCACTAAGTGTTGAGATCCACACTGGGACTATCATCGACGTACTTCCACCTTCACCTCCACTCACACAACATGATAAAGATGACGTGCTTTCTTCCACTGCACCCTGAATTGATGATTCTCCTGCTGTAGAACGATCTTCATGCAATGGCGTTGGGTGACTCTTTTTGCATATGCTACATGTGGACCTGTTTCTACAGTCTTTAGAATTGTGACCCTTTCTTAGACATGCAAAACACAACTTATTTTCAAGTATGCATTTTTTCTTATCCTCTACAGGCATGTCCATAAGCCTCTTGCATTTATGTATGGAATGGTTCTCACTACAGCAAATACACTGGTCACTATTGTAATTTTGTGTTGGTGTGTTCCATTTCTTTGGTTTCTCTGCATCTCCCAACTTGATTTGACCAGGGTCAGATTTGGTGGTGGAGCTTGATGGAATTGAAGGTTTCACATTTGTGGCAAACGTGTTTGCTTTTGAACACTTCATTTCTCTTGGTGGTGCCTCTGCAGAGTGCCTTAAGGCATGTAAGGATGACACTGGATTGCATGCTATGCGTGACTCCTTAGAGACAAAGGAAGCAAACTCATGAAAGCTTGGATAGTCGTTGCCCCGATCTAGCTGCTCTGTAACGTAACGGTTCCATCTACATGTCACCCAATCAGGAAGCTTGACTAATATTTTCTGATTCTCCTCGCAGTCGTTAAGAGCCTGTAAGCCCTTTATGTGGGGCATTGCATTACTACATGTTTGGAGGAAATCACTGAACTCTCTTAGCTTGAGATATTCCTTTCCTCCAATCTTCGGCCACCCATTTAACTTCTCTCTGAAAGCCCGCTGTACTACAAAGGAATGGCCATATCTAGCATTTAACCTATCCCATGCCTGTTGATAGGCTTCTTCATCTTTTCTGTAGAAGCTGCCTTCAAGAGAAGATTTTGCCTCGCCTGCTATGTACTTTTGCAGGTAGAATAGCCTGTCTGCAGGGTCAGAGCATCGTCTCTCTATGAGGGCTTTGAAGCTCATGCTCCATTCTGTAAACTTCAGAGGATCACCCGAGAATACAGAAGGTTCTGGAGTTGGCAAGCGGGTGAGAGCTAATGACTCTTGTAGCGATTTGACCAATGATGTCTCGTTTTGCACAACCTGCCGTTCTTGATCTGGGATGTGGTGAGCGAAGGGGTGTGCATCACTCACTTTGCTGAATGGAGGACTGTGTGTCCCATCCCTTTCCTCTTCTTCAGTGTAGACATTTAGCCTTGCCTGAATTACATCAATGTCCCTCTGGTTTTCCAGTTTTCTCAACTGCTGACGTTGAGCTTCGATGGCAGCTTCCATATCAACTTCAGCTCTCTTTGCAGCCAGCTGAGCAGCCGCTTCCGCCCTCATAGCCGAAATGCTAGGTGACTCTGAGAGATGTTTAGAATTGTGACAGCTGGGTGCAGTAACTCTGGAAGCTGTGGATCCATATATGGACCTAGCATATTCATTATCAAGTAGCATGCGTAACCTTGATCTTTCTGCCACTGTGTCAAACTCATCTTCATCTTCAGTGAGACGTACTCTCATCAGCTGCAGCAAGTCGGCTGTCACAGCTGAGCATGCATCAATCTTTCTTCGAATTTCTTGACTTGGTGAGGTTTGGAGTCGAATTCTGTCATACTGTTCCTTTAATTCAGACTCTTGCTTCTCAGCCTCATCCATCATATTATACATGTCACTCTCAGAGCATACTTGCTTTAACCTTGTGCGAATGTCTCTTACGTTGCTTCTCCACTTCTCATATGTTGCTTTGAACCTCTTCTCCTTTTGAGTTAACTCTTGATCTTTCAGTTCCTGCATTTTTGGTGTTAATCGCCTTTCACGAGAGGATTTTCTTGTTTTTGTCTCAGATTTCTCAGACACTACACTTCTTTCCTCTTTCATATCCCCTGCATCTTGGACTTTTGACATAACATTAGGATGACTATGGTCATCTTTAGACATTTTCAGACTTTAAAAGGGGTATCTTATGAAGGGACAAGATATCTAAGGTAATTACAAGAATGGAATGGATGCAATAGGTGGAGAATTATTAAAATTAACACAAGGCACCTTAGCTTAGTTTCTTACATATGACAGTAAATAAACTTCAGTTTCAGCCTTCTTAAAGCTTGCAAACAATAAGTAAGAAAACAACAATAAATTCCAGGACTTGAACAGATTGTCCTTTTTTTTTTTTCTTTTTTTTGTTACACAGTCTGAAGTTTGAACACAATTAATTTCTTGTCCATTATAGCAAATTTGTAGCTCATGTTCTATCCATCAACACAGGAGGCATAACAGCTGCGTAATATAGCCTGATGACTCACGCTTCTTGAAACCGCTTCTTGAAGTGTCCACTGAATATGCAGCTCCTGATTGGTTGCTCCAAAATGCAAAGCAACGTGTCCACTGAAGCCTGTAGCTCACTGTAGCTTGCTGCAGGATGACGAGAGCTCTGCGCACCGAAGCCTCCAGATGGATTGGGCCAACGTTTTCACTGTTTCTACTCGGGTCGAAAGAATCCACGCTTCGTACTGATGTCCACAATTCTTTTATTTCTCTCTCACCATCATGGAGCACCGTGAAAACTAGAAACAAGTAAAATAATATCAATAGCACATATGATATTCATCTCAGCCACTTATTTCCTTTCGCAAGTGCACAAGTGTTAAACGAAGAACAGTATAACGTTTTTTACCGTGTACGCCTTGTAAACCCAGCAGTAGAAAAGATGTATGTTCCAAAAGTCCGCCGTGTTACCGCTCCGTGTCGTCTCTCCCGCGACTCACAGGAAGCGACTACCTCACAACAATCTCAACAGAAACATTTCTTATAAGAAAGACGTATAACTCCACTGCACAGGTCCACAATATGAGTACCAAATAAAGAAAACAAAACAGAGACAACGTACCGATCTCCGATGCGCTGCTGGTGTTGTCATGGCAACCAACACAAACATTTCAACGTCAGTTACACCAACAGTCATAGATCAACAGTAGAAGACCAAAAGTAAAAGACCACCAACAGTCTCAGACCAACAGACATAGATCAACAGTAGAAGACCAAAAGTAAAAGACCACCAACAGTCTCAGACCAACAGACATAGATCAACAGTAAAATGCCAACAGTCTCAGACCAACAGACATAGATCAACAGTAAAAGACCAACAGTCACAGACCAACAGCCACAGACCAACAGTAATAGATCAACAGTAAAAGACCAAAAGTAAAAGACCACCAACAGTCTCAGACCAACAGGCATAGATCAACAGTAAAAGACCAACAGTCTCAGACAACAGACATAGATCAACAGTCTCAGACCAACAGACATAGATCAATAGTAAAAGACCAACAGTCTCAGACCAACAGACATAGATCAACAGTAAAAGACCAACAGTCACAGACCAACAGCCACAGACCAACAGTCTCAGACAACAGACATAGATCAATAGTAAAAGACCAACAGTCTCAGACCAACAGACATAGATCAACAGTAAAAGACCAACAGCCACAGACCAACTGTTTCAGACAACAGACATAGATCAATAGTAAAAGACCAACAGTCTCAGACCAACAGACATAGATCAACAGTAAAAGACCAACAGTCACAGACCAACAGCCACAGACCAACAGTCACAGACCAACAGCCACAGACCAACAGTCACAGACCAACAGGCATAGATCAACAGTAAAATACCAACAGTCTCAGACCAACAGACATAGATCAACAGTAAAAGACCAACAGTCACAGACCAACAGCCACAGACCAACAGTCATAGATCAACGGTAAAAGACCACAAGTAAAAGACCAACAGTCCCAGACCAACAGTCAAAGATCAACAGTAAAAGACCAACAGTCACAGAACAACAGTCACAGAGCAACACTCACAGACCAATACTCACAGACCAACAGTCATAGATCAACAGTAAAAGACCAACAGTCATAGAATAACAGCAAAAGACCAACAGTCACAGACCAACACTCACAGACCAACAGTCATAGATCAACAGTAAAAGATCAACAGTCATAGAATAACAGTAAAAGACCAACAGTCACAGACCAACACTCACAGACCAACAGTCATAGATCAACAGTAAAAGACCAACAGTCACAGGGCAACACTCACAGACCAATACTCACAGACCAACAGTCATAGATCAACAGTAAAAGACCAACAGTCACAGAGAAACACTCACAGACCAACAGCCACTGACCAACCGTCACAGAACAACAGTCATAGACCAACAGTCACAGTCTGCATTTAAATGCAGCCAATAACTCGTTCAATACCCAGTGTTTTGCAATAACTTGGTTCCGCAAGACCATGTAAACACCGGCAAAAACCGGTTTATTACCCTTGGGGTAACCCTTTTTTAACCCAAATATCAGGTAATGTAAACTTTATTGGGTTAACCCTTTCAAAAGGTGCGCTCTGCACATGTTCTATTCACAAGGAATCTCGGTCTTTTGAGTAGACCATGGGTCTGCAACCTTTTCCAATCAAAGAGCCATTATAACCCATTTCCCACAGTAAAGAAAACACTGAGCCACAGCAGCCGTGGCGTTTTGGATGAGCCTGCCGGTCCTGAGCAGGTTCTGCTTTTTTTAACGCGTCAAACATGTCTCCTTTTAGAACATGTTTTAAACTGTTCAGAATACAAATCCAGGCTCTGTCTCGTTGGATTGTTGTAACTAAACTTTGTACAGAACAAAGCTTTACATTAAACACTTGAAAAAGTAAGAAAAGAATCCAATCAATTAATTTTTTGCCCTCATTTACAGTGACGGAGATAACGGAAAAGTGTGCATGGCTCTGGTGTTAATCAAATTTTATTGTTTCTCTTTGCAACAATCTTCACAAGAGGGCTAAACGGTTTAAAGGCAGGATTCACATTGACCCGATATTTCCCTTATTTGACCATTTATTTTGACAGAGAAACCTCAAGGTTTGGTCACTTTGAAAGAATTACCCTGACGTGTGCAGATGCACTGACATTTTAATCATTACGTACATCACAGAGGTAGCTAAATCAATCAAGAAAAGATTCTCTTCAGAACATCTGAGCATAATACAGGACACTGGTCAGTGCTGCTTGCTGTCAAAGCGCACATAAGGTGAGCAGCGAGCTAAAGATGTGGTGAGGGGCTCGTAGCGTGTCTGTAACAGACAGCAGCAGAACCAGAGCGCATGCGGGAAGATTCCTCTCACTGAAGCGAGTGTTTTCCAAACCCTGTCTCTCTGAGAGACTTGTCACCTAGAAAATGTTCCCTGATTCCCTGAAACTTTGGCTGAATATCGCTTGCTCCTGTCTCCAATGAGCCTGTCCGAGGCAAAGTCCAGAGTCGCATATAGTACTCTTTAGCTCAGAAAGCACCTATAGAGACATTAGATTACGCACAAGCTTTGTAATCGGGATATTAGAAGTTCCATGTATACAGGGGTAACGCTCTTTACTTGTGCATGTAAACAGGTTATTCCAAATTTTCAGAAACCCGAATACTGGCTGCATGTAAACAAAGTCACAGAGCAGCAGTAACAGACCAACAATCACAGAATAATAGATCAACAGTCCCATAACAACAGCCACAGAGCAACAGTCACAGGGCAGCAGTAACAGGCCAAAAGTCACATCACAATGTCCAAAGAAAGTCAGAAAAACCATTGATTGAGAACATTTTGAAATTTAAGTATAAATAAATGACTCAGGACTTTTGCACAGCAGTGAGCAGTTGTTAGTTCTGAGTCTTCTCCACACACCTTCTCCACACCAACACTCCTCAGTAGAACAGAACTGACCTTTAGAACTTCTAAACGTTGTTATTTTGCTAAAAGCTGTTTGCAGCCTAACAGTTGACCTCAAAATGATTATTTACTGTAGGTAGGGCTGTAGCGAAGCCTCGACGAAGTCGACGGCTCGATTCTAAAAATTTGTCGACGTCAGATCCGGAAGTCGACGCACCGCGCCCACTTGTTGCATCCCCAGGAGTTTGTAAATAGAGGAGGAATCTGCCCGTTTTTCCTCTAGTTCGCCCTCTTCTCCGCCTTCACTAAAATCTCCGCCAAATACCGAAGACCCGGAACAACGTCCGTCCACTACTAGATTATTTTCCTGTTTTGCCCCTTCGTCTCCCAGCAACGGACAACAACTTCCGGGGTCAGATGCGCTACTTCGTGTCTATCGCAGATGTAGAAAATCACCGGGAGCGCTTCTCCCTTCATTAAGGAGCTTCTTTCAGACAATAGGAGAGCTGTTTTGGTGGTAGCAGTCTCTCCTCCGTGCTGGTCTGTTTGCTGCTGGGTGTTTTTGGTTTATTTAAACTTGGTAACTTGAACTTAACGTTGGTAAAGCTACTGTTAGCATCTTCGCTAACAGCTTCTTGCGTTGGGATAAGCTGTTACGTTTTGGTTTAGAGTTCATCTTTTTTGTGGTGTAGATCTCCCTTTTATTACATTTAGAGTGTTGTGGGTTTTCGGTTTAGTGTAAAATATCACCTGAGTTTGGTTTAACCCGTAAGACCACTCGCCTCACGCACATAAGTGACCAAAACAAAGCAGCATGGAGACACTCCATCTTCTACCACCTCTCAGGCAGCAGCCTGCACTCCCAAGTTCTACACGTCACCAGAACATAACCAACCGCAACACAATAAAAGCAGTGTTATACAAAATGGAAGGCCTGTAGTGTTTATTCTCTTACAGTAAGAATTTATCAATTTTTTTGAGGAATTGATTTGAGATTTTCTGGTTTTTGTTAATTGTGCAATAGAAAAATAATCATTAGATTAATTTTCTAAATAGTCATTAGAATAGTCGACTATTCGATAAAATAATCGTCAGAATAATCGTTTTAAAAATAATCGTTTACCCCCAGCCCTAACTGTAGGTCAAAGGCGGATGCTTGATATTTACAAATGTCAGAACTGTTTCCATTGGACTCGAGCAGGATTTGGGAAAGTCAAACCAACAAAACCTGTTGTGAAATCAAAGGTTTTTGGGACGTTTTTTGGCCGTATAAAGAGCCTTTCCATCCCAGACAAGCACATTACTAATACAAGAGGGCAGCTTTGTTTGACTTGGCATGGTCCTTTTTTATTTTAGTAATTCCTGTCCTGTTTTTTCTGCATGACAGGTAGAATTAAGTATTCAGAGAGGGTGTATGACGCATGTATGGACGCCTTCGACTGCCTTCCCCTGGCTGCACTAATGAACCAGCAGTTCCTGTGTGTACACGGAGGACTTTCTCCAGAAATCACAAATCTTGATGACATCAGGAAAGTATGTGTCTGACTCCTCATCATTTTGTAGCTATTTCATTAAGTTGTTTCTCTATGATCGGTACCTGTTAATTGCCTGTCTGCTTTGTGTATTTTTCATTTTCAAGGAAGTTAACAGCATAAAAACTGTAATGACAGCTCAGAATGGTCCCCCCACTGCTTTAAAAGAAATGTTGAAGAGTTGGACCCTGTTTTATAACTAATTCAATCATTCTAAATGGATTTTGTGGCTGTAATCAGAGGGCAAGGCGGAACAGAGTTTACTCCGCTGAAGTGTCCATCATGCTGCCTGAGCTGTTACACTCAAGCTTTTGTTTGAGGAGAATATTTCATTTCCTAAAAGCAAAATCATTTAGACTCGTAGGTTGAATAGATTTGCTGCCATCAAGTGTTTTCCAGCCTTTCTGAAAAACAATTTAATTACAAAGAAAGCTGCACTTATCAGCACGGCTCTTTAAAAGCTCTCGTAGGAGACGCTGATGTCCCTTCTTTTGAACAAGCTGGTGTTTTCCCCCACAGCTAGACAGATTCAAAGAGCCCCCAGCATACGGCCCAATGTGTGATCTGCTGTGGTCCGACCCGCTGGAGGACTTCGGAAATGAGAAGAGCCAAGAGCACTTCACACACAACACAGTGAGAGGCTGTTCCTATTTCTACAGGTGGGCACTTACACCAAAAACATTTATCCTTTCTGTCCTAATTTTTCTCCCTTTGCTTCTAATAGCTGCATTAACAGGGTTTCTCGTTGGGGCTATGTCTAAAAATGTTATTTCTTTTTGTGCTGATGTAAGTCCTCAAATATATTCAGCTGTTCCACTTTGGGATGTCTAAAGTACCAAAACAAAAAGTATGTGCTGTCTCCGACCTACTTTCCAATTAAAATGGCAAATGTTAAAATGGCCAAGGAGAAAAGGTTGGTTCTGAGAAAAGCATATTTAGCACATCGTCGATACAGACAAACCCCCTTCAATGTGCATGTACCAACCCACTTCAATGTTAGAAATATATAGAGTCTAAAGCCTGATTTATGCTTCTCCGTCTGCGTCAGTGCGGAGACACGCAACGCCATTATCCGTCCTTGCGTAGGGCACGCAAGTACGTACGGAGTCGAGCCCACTTTTTTAAACATCCGTCGAACGAGACGGATTACGCAAGCTTGTGATTGGTCAGGATGCCGCTGTTGTTTACAGCGCCGCCATTGCAAAGAGAGCCGAGGATAACTAGCGGCAGACACGGAGAAGCTTGAAGAATACCTCGCGAAAAAACTCTAAAAATATGAACGTTTAATTCTCCCGTGACTGGAGGAGTGAAAAGATGCGCAGCAAGCGTTTTATTTGTGGACGGAAATGACAGGAAACGTGGGTTTAGAGGTGGGAAGCGCATGAAGAGGTGGGAGAATGAGAGACAAATATGTCCCTGTTAAAAGTCTCTTATATACACAAAAAACACAATATAAACACACTATCTTGGACAGGATACCACAGAACAGCGCTACGCCCTCTGTTGTCCTGCAGGGCAATTGCTTTGCAACACTCTCCAGGAGACGGAGAAGTAAAAGAACAAAACGCTTCCGTCAGTCCGTGCGTGTCTGTCCCTTGCGGAGCTGACGGAGAAGCATAAACCAGACTTAAGTCACGCCCATCTACTTCCAGACCATGGGTCCCCGAAACAACAAAAACATTAATTCAAAGTCACTGGGGATAAAATTCGCTATTTTCTAATTCAGTTTTGTATGTGCCATAGATTAGTATGTCCTTGAATTTTAAATACGCATTTTGATGCCAAGAAAGCGCTTGTTTTCGAATGGGGGGAACGTTATTTTAGGTTTTGTGTGAAAATAAGACCAAAACAACAAATGTGCTTCATGAAAGTGATGTAATCTAACTAAACATGGAGAAAACAGAGGGAAAATGGCTGTAAGTTCAGCCATCTTCAAATCCTTCTTCAGGAGGAAAGAACCACCATAAATCTGGCCATGTGGTAAGTAGCAGCTATGCTAGGGGAGAGGAGATTCCTTGGTGATGTGCATATGTCTGATTTGTAGTCATGCTAATTACAGATTTTTACAAGCTGATAAATCTCAAAAGCTGGCGTGGTTGAAACGCACATCATTACTTGTCATTGAAATAGATGTGCAGCATATGTGTGATCCAAGGCATAAGGCACGGCAGAATAGAAAATAGCTCTTTTAGCCCCGTTGACTTGCATTCATTTTTTTGTTCTTCTGTGGACCCATGAGCCGACCAGAAAGGGAGAAGACTTGGGATCCCTATAATAATGTTGGCAGTAATGCTAACCACAATGCTAGCTCAAGCTTTTGCTAACATTAGCCCAACATACTGCTAATGCTAGCTCAGGCTAGAGCAAACACTTGCCCAAGCTATTGTCGGTGCTAGCTAAAGCAGCTGCTAACATTCTTGTAGGACAAGAGGAAAACCGCAAGGATTATTGTCAGAGCTCTTTCCAGGAAGTACTGGGAATGCCAGATAAATCCATAACTTGCCTATTGAGTTAAATTGATACTAAACATGGCTGTACACAGATTTTATAACTTCAGTGTCATAGAACCATCAGGGTAAACAGGCCAATCAGAATGCAGCTCACTTAATATTCATGTCCTGGTCAAGTGGGGAGGGTCCACCAGTCTTTCCATTGTAGGGCTTTATTTTGGAGTTGTGTTTAGCCATTTATCAGGGCACCTGAGTCATTGTGACCTCTTTAGGTCTTGTATTTACTGTTGGCATCAATTTGTTGTGTGTTGTTCTGTCTGAGAATATAACCTTTATTGATGCTTTGACAAAATTACAAATCCCATTTGACGTTGCTTGTCAACTCTTCTCCAGGTCAGGGATGATGTCCTGCCCCAAGTGGAGGAGTTTAAGTATCTTGGTGTCTTGTTCACTAGAGAGGGAAATATGAAACGCAAGTTCAATAGGTGGATTGGTGCTGCGTCTGCAGTGATACAGGCATTGTACCAGTCTGTCGTGGTGAAGAGAGAGCTGAGCTGGAAGTTCTCGATTTACCTGTCGATCTACGTTCCTACCCTCACCTATGGTCACGAGCAGATGCAAGAGGACAAAATGAGTTTTCTCCGCAGGGTGTCTGGGCTCTCCCTTAGAGATAGGGTAAGAAGCTCGGTCATCTTGGAGGGGCTCGGAATAGATATGCTGCTCCTCCACATTGAGAGGAGCCAGTTGAGGTGGCTCAGGCATCCAGTTAGGATGCCTCCTGGACGCCTCCCTGGTGAGGTTTTCCAGGCACGTTCAACCAGGAAGATACCTAAAGGAAGACCCAGGACACGCTGGAGGGACAATGTCTCTTGGCTGGCCAGGGAACGCCTTTTTAGGTCTCTGAACAATATTTTTTAAACACTGCTGTGAACACAACCAGGATTTATAAATACCAGCTGACTATACTAAAAGACCCAACGATATCTATAATCAGTTTCAAATAGTGTTCATGAACTCGGACATTTCAACGCAGCATTCTTACTGACCATGGTCTGAGTTTTACTGCTCTGCTAGTGTTGAATTATGTCTATGGAAACTCCATTCTTATGAGTAATTTCAGCATAAAGAGAAGTTACATTCAACAGTAGCCAAAAAACTAATCAAGAGACACATGATTTCATTTCCATTTTTACTGCTCTGCAATCAGAAAGAGACCAGTTGTGGTTACTGACATTCATGTAAGGAGCCAGAGATCCCTCCTTAGACTGTCGCTGATGTTTATGCAGAACCGCATTGCCATCAGTGGAGCTGAATAAGACGACTAACGCATGGGAATGCTCGGAGCAAGCAGCTTGCACTGTCACAAAATGTAATGAAGTGGCACATTACCATGAGTTTCAGTACTGTTTCTAAATGCATTGGCTCTGCTCACAGCCCGAGCAACGATTATTTGGCCTCGGTGAGCTGCGGGCAAGCCAGCAGGAGTAATGAGAAATGTCTCGAGGCCTCAAATACGCATCTTCTTCTTTTATTTATTGGATAGCAGGTTGTTTTAAATGCATGCGCTTAGTTTTATTTGAATGTTCTTGCTTATAAACTAACTCCTCGTGTTCTGGTTTTTGGCGGATTTGCTTAGGCTCATCTTTTTCTTACTGTAAATGAGACATTACTTTGTGCCTAAAGGAATGTTGTCATTTAAATGAACTGAGACCAGAGAGAAATGTTTGGTGTGTAGCTTTTTTTTTTTTTTCCTTTTACTTCCACACAACTGATCTGAATGTCAGAAATGTTTGTGCTGAACCTTCATCCCAGTTAACCCTGCTGCCATTTGGTCCGAATTCCTCTGGAGTCGTGTTTTAATCCGCGTCCAGCCCAGGGGAGGGTCCATAATTGGTTTCACACTGGCTTTAGGATTTATGAGACACTTTCAGACAGAAAGGGAATGGCGTTCCTCAACTCCCCTCCTGATAACACAGAAGCCTGGCCTGCAGCAAGCAGCATTTGCCTCAGTTTTTTAGGCACATACCTAATACTTTTACAGTTCACAGGCATAAAAAATTACTAATGCTTCAAATGTGGCTTCCTTAATCAAGATGTCTTGACTCATCATCCTGAAGGGGATTATTCTTATTTAATCCCTTGGTAATGAAGTTTTAACTCAGAAATATACGTAGAAGATCACTTACCTTTTTTATTAACCTGCTAAACTTGTCTCATGATTTAAGTGACTTATCCTATGTTTCCTTGTTTGTAGATGGCAAATACTCACCAGAGATGTCCGTTATTATCAGCTTACCAGTATTACCGAGATTGGTCTATCTTTTAATGACACATCCTTTATGTATCATACATCAAACTGTTCAGCTACTTCTACTCACTTAAAATGTCAAAATATAACAAATCCTAGGTATAGTTTCTGAGACATTTTTGTTACCTTGGTATCATTTTATACCATTATCTGAAGAGTTAGACTACATCGGTAAATGGTATATCAGTAAAATAAATAAATAAATAAATAATAAACCTACGTGGAATATCCTTAGCCATAATGCAAGAACAACATGTACTTATCTGCTGCGGGTCCATTAGAACATAAGGCATTTCTTTCTAATTTCTCTAGTTTTATTTACACCTCTTATTTCTATGCCTGTTTTGGGAGTTCCTGTAGATTGTCACTGTCTGTCTTCTCATGTCTGCTTTCACCTTGACAGTTGATGAACCTTTCCTAACTCAATCAGTCTCAGAGATTAACTTCTTCGTCAAGCACTGAAGCTGATAAACAACCACTTAAAAAAGTCTTAATGTGCTCATGCAAGCATGCCGTCTAACGTGCCTGCCCCTAAAGGACTTTGCATTAAGAGATGCAATAAAGCTGCTCAGTAAAGCTTGATGCCTCACACTTGATCAGAATGCAATGATTATTTAGCACACTAATTACTGGGTTGTGGTCGGTGCTTTTAGGGGAGAGATTTTACACCAGATGCTTGTTTTTTTAACAAAAAAAATGTAAAGATTTGTGTTTGATCACATGACTGAACTCTGATGGAGTTGAAGTGGATTCTTTCTGATGTATCACATTGCCTCATTGAATCCATTAAAACCTGATACAGTTGTGGCCAAACAAAATGTGATTTTGACACGTATTCTTAAAGTTTGCAGCCTCAGTTGCTATGACAACAGTTTGAATAAACTCCAGATTCCTCTGAAGA